TAGGTCGTGCTCGCGTTGTGAAAAAGTCACGACGCGCTTCGGGGGCCGAGGTTCTTGCCCGATGCGGCCCCAGTATCCGCAAAAACAGACCCACGGCGCGACATCGCTATTGAAGAGCGGGTCGAGGGCCTTCAGGGACCTCATGGACCCAGACCCCCTCGCTTTGTCAAATATTCGCGACGGGGGGTTTTTGGCTGTCTAGGCCTCTGCGGGCATTTTTTGGGCCCCAGGATTGTCAAAAACGACTGAGGCAGACAAGCCCGTCCCTGGGAAAGGGTCGGAACTCCTGGGGACCCTGTACTGAACAAATCAAGATAGCGCATGTCTGATAAGGAGGCTTTCCCCGAAGAAGGTAAAAAGGCATAAACATAAGTCCGCGGAGTTCTGCGCGGATCTCCTGGCGCCTCCAGGAACTCCGCGCGGACCTCGGACATATTTTTTTTAACGCTGTTCTATCTTATTCCAAACAGTGGTCCTGGAGTCTTTTCGCAGTTTTAGCCTCCAGGGGCCCTTGCGCACCAGCCTGGCGGCCACCAATAAAAGATACTCGGGATGATAAGCCAGTCCCGGAGAGGGCCTCTGGAGGTCAGCGTCCTGGGTATCGTCAATTTGGCAGGTGGCTGGAAAATTCAATCGGGGGATGCCAAGTCTACACTGACACCGATCCTGGCGAGGCCACTGCTGGGCACGGGACTGGTGTGGCCAATTCGTCGTTGGTACATGCTCTGCGTCTCTATAGCTCAGCAGAGGCTGCGTCGCGGGTGCCCTCCATCTGGTAGGTTGTGGTCCCTGAGAGATTGACGTTTGTTTTTCAACCGGCCTTCCGGGGGTGAAGCCGGACGAGCCGACGCCAATCGCTGCGATCCGATGCAGGCCTAGCCCTAGATGGATCGAGGCACATTCAGAGAAGATGTTCACGAACGAAGCAGTCATACGCCAAACGCGCGTGGGCAAGACAACGTGGCGAGCATGCTGGGAAAGCCAAACGCGTCATCTCGCGGACAGGAAACGCGCCAAACGCGCGACCAGACAGTGAAGATATTCGAGAAGAAGAATAATAAGAAGAGAAGATGTTCAGAGACATCTAAATAAGTCGTGGAATCAGTGCGAATCGAAGGGAATCACGATCGGTGACCGACATTCAATTCACGCCCCTGCTGCTGCCTCCACTCATGGCCGCCGTGTGGGTCGGGGCATGCTGAGCGACCTGGCCTTCACAGGTCAGGTTGTTGTCCATGCCCCCACTCCGGCCCGTCGTAGAGTCCCTGGCGCAAGGACGGGTACGGATGAGACGTCGATCGCCCACGGAACATGGGCGCCCTCGAGGGCACGAAGTTCTTCGCGCTTCGCGCTTCGCGCTTCGGCTCCGACTCTTCCTCGTCCTCCTCTTCTCCCCTGGGGAGCCGGCGCGAGGGCGCGAAGTTATTGCAGCTTCGCGCTTCGCGCAGCGCGAAGATCGAAGTTGGGCGCCCCTGCTGAAGTTCTTGAGCCCTCGGCAGGGCCGCAGCGCGGCACCTCCTCGCCGGGCGGCCGCGGCCTGCGGCCGGAGGCGCGGTGCTGCGTGGTGGGGTGGGCGTGCCCGCTGCGCGGCGGCGCGGGGTGGCGAACGCGGCGCGTCTGGAAGGGCGCGGTCCGCCGTGCGTTCATGCCTCCCTCCCTCGTCCCGAGCGGCCCGCCACCTCCGCCCCCTCTGTCGGCCTCGTCCTCCTGCTCCCCTCTGGCATGGTGGCACAATTTCACCTAACGGCACCCCCGTGTAGGCCTATCCGCTACCGCAGACTTCCACTGCTTCGCCGCCGACGGCAAAAAAGTTTCCCTCCATCGAGCTCCGGCCCGCTCACCGCGGATGGCTTCCACGCCTGAGCGCCCTCCCCCTCCTCCCTTCGCGCGGCCGCCCTCGTCTTCGCCTCTCATTCTCTCTTGCACGCCGGACGGTTTGCCATCGGTTGCCCCGATTCGCCCCGCGCTGGTGCGGACTGCCTTTGCCTCGCCGCCGACGGAACAAGCTTCCCTCACTCGCCATATAAAGAGCAGAGGTCGTCACGGAAACGTGTGCGGTCGAGGCCGGCTCCCCTCTGCGCAATGCGCCTCGCCGTGGCCCAGCGCTTCGCTCCGACTAACTTCACCACCCACCAAACCACTCCAACCCAACCCGAAGCCTTCAATTTGCCCCCCATTTCCAGTGTGGGGGGGGTCGGGGAACGTTGAAAAAACACATGGAATCCGTACCCCCCCAACCCGAAATTCGGGTCAAATTCGGGTCTTCGGGTTGGGTTGGGGTGGTCCGGTAGGTAGTCATAACTCGCAAGTCCGCCGAGTCTGAGACAACAGCAGTGCGGTCGAGCCTCGACCGTCGCGGTGTGGTCAGTTCTTGGGACTGGGGGGAGGGCGGCGCGACCACACACTACACAGCGGCGCTGGGCGGCATCGGTCGGCGCCGAAGTGTCTCGAAGGCCGCGGCCTTCTCCGGCGGCCTCCGGGGATGGAGCATCGAACTGGCTTCGGCGACGCATCGCCGAGGGGTCGGCGAGCCCCCCCCCCCTGGCAGCGAAACCGCACGTTTGCTGGGCACCCAGGCCCCTGTCGGCCACGCACAGGGGGGCGGGGGCAGGGGGGAGGCTTTTTGGAAACACCCCCGCTTCGTAGAAGGCGCGGGCCTTGTGTATATCGCAGGAGACAGAGCGACATAAACATAAACTTTTCGCGCTCCGCCCTGATTTCTTGGATCCGCGCGGCCGCCCCTGGCGCGCGGAGCGCGCCAGGGAGGGGGCGTCCGACGCAGATCGGAGACACCCGCACGGAGCCCCCAAAGGTTATGTTTATGTTGTTGTTGTTGTTTTTGGTGCGCGCCGCTGGCCCCCCCGCGGCGAGAGGAGAGGGCCCCGAGGGTGGGGGCTGAGAGCCCCCGGTGCCCACGGGCTCGGAGCCTGTTCGGGGGTGGCTCGCAGGCTCGCCGCCGATCCGCGCCCTCGAAGATCGGCGCCGCCCGCGAGGCCGAGGCGCGCTCGCGCCACGGCCTCGCGCCGCAGGCGCTGCGCCCCTTCCGCGCCCCTCGGGGGCGGCCAAGAGGGGGGGCGATATCATGTCGGGGGGCCATGATATCTCCCCAGACTTCATGGCGCCACTTCTTGTTTCAACACGTGCCTGGCTCCTCCCCCATGGCCGCGCACGTGCCGCCGGCCACGATTTGCGCCCCCCCTCTTGGGCGCGCACCCGGCATGTGCCACGCCATCGGGGGTCTGAGGTGGATGCCTTAAGGCCTCCTAGATGGGGTTCTCCTCCTCCGCCTCCTCCTCCTCTTCTCTCCTCCTCCTCCTCCTCCTCCTCCTTCTCCTCCTCCCCCTCCTCCCCCTCCTCCTCCCCCTCCTCCTTTCCTCCTTTTCCTCCTTGTCCTGCCGAGGCGAACTCCTCTTCGAAGGATCTGGGCCTCCTAGATGGGGTCCGAAAAGATGGGGTCGGAGGATGGAGCCGCATCGGCGATGCATCGGCGATGCGGCTCGGTGTGGAGCCCGATGTGCTTCACGTCGACGTCGCCGATGCACCGCCGACGTCGACGATGCATCTCAGGTGCATCACCGATCCATCGCCGATGTATCGGCGATGCGGCGCGATCCTCCGACCCCATCTACTCGGACCCCATCTAGGAGGCCTCTAATGCCGCTCTGGGAGCGCCAGCAGGTGGAACCCGCGACCGCGACACAGTCGAACCGAGGCACAGTCGCCGAGCGCGTTCCACTACTCGCAAAGTGCCCATTCGCAGGCGTCCGAAAAGTGCACGTCTACGCTAGATCGTAGATCCCGACGCCGGATCCAAGCCATTGGCGAGCAGTTTTACTCGGCGAGTAGTGGAGCGCGCTCGTCTATGTAAGATCGAGGTCGGTTCGAGGATGGCACCCAGATGCTCGTCGTGCCTGTTGGGTGTTCTTGCGCATCCTCGGATGTGCTGCGTGTTTTGGCCAGCGGAGTGTCCCGTGCTCTTGAGAAGGATTCTCTTTTGTCCTGGGTCCTGCTGCAGCCCGCCGGGCGCTCTTCGCCGCGCTGCACCTCTGGCGTGAGGACGTCCTTCCTCGTGTCGCCAGTCGGCTCCCTTTGCCGCCCCTCTCGTCGTCCCTCTCTCCGCCTCAGAGCCTCTGCCCCCTGCTCCTGTCCCTCCTCTGCATTCTCCTCTCCCTCCGCCCCGTCCTGCCTTCTTCCTCTCTTTCCTCCTGCTCTTCCTCCCCCCCCCGCTCGTCCGCCTCCCCGCCCTACCCCTTCTCCCCATCCTCCGCCACCTTCTCCTCCTCGTCTCCCTCCGCGTGCGGTATGGACGATTAGTGGGCGTCCAGGTCCGATAGGTGTGGAGGCCCAGGCAACGTTCGTCGGTCGTGTGTGCCTTCACCAGCACTTTCAGTTCGAGCTTTTTGTCCAGAAGCCATGTTTTCGGAAACATGTCACAAGAGCTGCATGGCTACGTACACTGGAAGCGGATATCTTGCATCATGCGAGAGGTTCCGCACTCGCCGTATGTTTCTGCCACCACGTTGTGACAAGTTGTCCTTTTCCTGTCCAGCCGCCTCCGCACCGTCGAAGGCCTGGCTTGCGGTGGATCAGCATCTGGCTCGTGTTCGTAGTTCGCAGCCCTCCAGCGATAGCGAGGTCCAATCTGAATCTACGTATGACGTCTCCCGCTGGACCCCCTAGCAGCCCTCGGAAGTGGCGCTAGTTTCGCAAAGTGCAGCTCCCCAGGGATGACAAGGTAACGTAAGGTGGCGACGTAAAAGGCAGGCTGGCAGGCAGGTGCAAGCCAGGTAAAGGCAGGAGAGGAGAGGAGCAACGACGAGAGGATGAAGGAGGCGGGATCAGATGGAGGAGGTCGCGAGTGCAGTGCTCGATTCAACACGAACCTAACGCAGGAAGGTTGGGAATAGCAGCAATCCGCCGCTGAGATTCATTCGCGACGCGAGAGGGTGATTGCGCAGCCTCAGGACGAGGGGGATCCCGCGGCTCCTCCGCCGCAAGAGGTGTACCGCGTATTCGTGGAGGGTGAGCTGGAGTACGAGTCCGTGGCCGCGGCGATCGAGAAGGCCGGCGGGGGCTCAGGGCAGGTGGCCAGTGCAGAGCCAGGGCAGCCGTGCCCGCCGTGCGAGATGGCCTCCTCCCTTCCCAGTAGACAGCTCCAACGGCTGCTTTCGCAAAAGGAACTCTCCTTCTCCTTCTCCTCCTCCTCCTGCTCCTCCTCCTCCTCCTCCTCCTCCTCCCTCCTCCCTTCTCCCTCCTCCCTCCTCCCTCCTCCTCCCTCCTCCTTCTCCTCCCCCTCCTCCTCCTTGTTTCCTCTCCTCCTCCTCCCCTCCTACTTGTTCTCCTCCTCCTCCTCCTCCTCCTCCTCCTTTTTCTTCTCCTCCTCCTCCTACCTCCCTCCTCCTTCCTCTCCTCCCTCCTCCCTCCTCCCTCCTCTCCTCCTCCCCCCTCCTCCCTCCTCCCTCCTCCTCCTCCTCCTCCTCCTCCCTTCTCTTCTCCTCCTCTTCGTCCTCCTCCTCCTCCCTCCTTCCTCCTTCTCTCCTCCTCCTCCTCCTCCTCTCCTCTTCCTCTCCTCCTCCTTTCCTCTTTCTCCTCCTCCTCCTTCTCCTCCTCCCCTTCCCTCCTCCTCCTCCTCCTTCCTCCTCTCCTCCTCCTCCTCCCTCCTCCCCCTCTCCTCCTCCTCCTCCTCCTCCTCCTCCTCCTGTTTCCTCCTCCTCCTCCTTCTCCTCCTCCTCCTTCTCCCTCCTCGTCCCTCCTCCTCCCTCCTCCCTCCTCCGTCCTCCGTCCTCCCTCCTCCCTCCTCCTTCCTTCCTCCCTCCTCCTCCACCTCCTCCTCCTCCTCCCTCCGCCCTCCGCCCTCCGCCCTCCTCCCTCCTCCTTCCTCCCTCCTCCCTCCTCCCTCCTCCCTCCTCCCAAAAAGGAGCGAAGGGAGGGAGGGAAGGGATGCATGGTGGGGGAGGAGAAGGGAGAGAGAGGGGAGCGAGAGAGGGGAGCGAGGGAGGGGAACGAGGGAGGGGATGGAGACTGTACATTACCCCCCAAAAAAAAGAGAGAGGGGAGGGAGGGGCTGGAGGCGAGCGCACCAGCTCGGGCCAGGCCCGGCCCAGGCCCCGCAGCAGAGGTTAGAGGCCTGCGCGGGCCTGCCTCACCACGCGGGAGAGGCGCCGATGGAAAAGCACGGGTGTCGGGGGCGCGCAAACATGGTCGCCACATCTATGGATCGGGGAAGGTGACCTCCCCCAAATGCGGCCAGTGCCGCCTAGTTCGTAGATTCGACAAAAACATTCAATTCTTGGGTAAGTAATTCACTTCTGTTGTCGATCCTCTGTTCGGGCTCCATCTAGGAGGCCTAGATCCCCTCCCTGCGCCAGGCGGGCCCCTCTGGGGCCGAGCCGGGGCCCTCCCACGCCCTCTCGCGGGGCCCCACGACAGGTCCCGCAGGATCAGGAGGGTGCTTCCCAGAGGGGTGTCAGTGCCCGCCCTCCCAGAGGTCCCAGTGCGGCGACCGTAGTGCTGGTGGCCGCACTCACGCAGGTCGAGGCGGCGAAGGAAGCGCTGCCGTGGACGGCAGGGATCGGCCATCGCCCAGAGGACGAGGAGAGGAGGGAGCCCGCCACGTGCTTCCGAGAGGACGTCCAGCGGAGGATGGCCATCCCGCAACCAGCGTCGCGGCCTGCAGCAGTGCGCCTTCCAACCGTGGCCATGGTTTGGGGGGAACGCCACATGCAGTGCCTGTGGGCCCGCCGATTGTCGCGGGCTTTTGGGCTGCTGACGGCGCGAGGCAGGGGGGGCGCGCCATTCCTGGAAGGGCGACGTGGGCACGGCTGCGGGTGACAGGAGGGGCGGCGTGTGGGTGTGGGCAGGGTGGGGGGCAGCTCGAGGAACACCCCGTGGCCCTGCCCCCGAACCAGGGGCAGCCCCGCGACCGCTCCAAGAGGGGGAGCCAAGAGCGGGCCACGGAGGTGGAGGTGATGCCGGCGCGGGACAGATAGGGGGCATGCTGGGCGACGCCCAGTAGGGTGAGGGTCCGCCTGGCGCAGCGGGCGAGCGCCCCAGCCCAGGCCAGCCGACGGAGGAGGAGAGGCCCGCCGACCCAAGGGACGCGCGGGGCCCAGGCCGCCACGGCAGGACACTTCCCGAGTCACTTCTCGAGGATCCGCACTTGGATAGGCTGGTGAGGAACCGCGGAGGGGACCCTGACGAGCGCTGGGAATGCACGACACAAGGTTGCGCGCGACCTTGCGCGGTGGTGGCCTGGGGGACAGCGTGGAACTGCTGCAGGACGCGCAGGTGCACCGATGGTCAGAAGCAGGGGCCTTGCTGTTCAGGGCAGGTGCGGTGCCCGCCTTCAGAGTGGCTGGGCGCCGCCCAGACGGAACGAGGTGCAGGCGCGCCGGAGGCGCTTCCCCCATCGAGGGGGGGACCCGTGGCGAGCAGCGCCGTGCTGGCAGCGGGGGCGACGAGGAGACCTCGGGAGTGGGCGGCGGAGGGGCGCCGTGGGCGTGCGCGGGAGGCAGAGCCCAGCGACGCCGGCGACCGCCGGGGTCCCCGAGCGCAGCGCGGGGCCACCGAAGTGCGAAGGGTGCGGCTTGGGCGGTGATGACCGCGACGTCCGCTGCGCATGGTGCGGGCGCGCCTGCGGGAGCATGGGCGCTGCGGCCGCTGCCGCCCCCCCGCCTGCGCCAGCCGTTGGGCGGCGGCCTCGCAAGATAGCGCGCGCTGCCGATGCCTCGAGCATGCGCGGCTGGGGCCGATGTGGAAGGCGGGGTGGTGCTGCGGCAAGTGCGCCGGCAAGGACTCGGGAGAGGAGTGGGCGGTGGCAGAAGTCAAGCATTGCGCCGGCTGCGAGAGGGAGCCCCGCGGTCAGGGCCCAGGCGAGAGCCGCGCGGCCCTGGGGGCGGCAGCGGAGAAGCGGCAGAGGTTCGATGCGCGGTCCGGGTGGATCTGAGGGAGTCGCCTGGGCGGGCGGGCCGCCGCCCCGAGGAGGCAGCCAATGGCGAGGCCGAGAGCTCGGAGTGCCCGCCGCCGCCCCCGCCAGGGCAGGGGGCTCGGGCGAAGGGCGGGGCGGGGCAGGGGCGGGCTGAGGAGGTGGGGGCGGCGCGCGAGGCTAAGACGGAGGCACGCGCCCAGAAGAACGCAGAGCACATCCGATTGAGGGCGCTGGCGTCGCCACGCATGGTCAAGATGGAGCAGGAGGCGGAGGCGGCGACCCCTGGCGAGCAGGAGGCGGCGGTGGGGATGGCGCGCCGGCTGCTGGCCAAGCGCGCGAGCGGGGGGCCAGGGCATGGCCTGCTGCAGAGACCCAGGGCCGCGGGTCGAGGCCGAGCCCGCCCCGGGCCCACCGCCGACGCCGGGGGAAGCGAGCTCCCCAGCGACGCGCGCCCCTTTGCCCCGGCCGCGGCCGAGGGCAGCCCCCCAGGGTCGGGGCCCCCTGCCCCGGCCAGGGGGGGGGGGGCATGCGCTCCGCGGGCCCGCGCCCGTCTCCCCCGGCCCGAGCCGCGCCCGGCGCCGGGCGGCCGGGAAGCGCTGCCGCGGCCGGGGCCGTGCCCACCTCCAGCGGAGCGGTCGGCGGGGGGCGGGGGGAGTTACCGCGGTCCACGGGGGCGGCGTCGTCGGCAGGACGGGGCGACGGTCGGAGGAGGAACCCGCGGCGATCGACCTGGGGGCGGCGAACAGGTATTTGGCGGAAACTGACCGACAAGGCCAAGGGGGCCCAGACATGGGGCGGCAGCTGAGGGGGCTACCGCGCGGCGATGCCCAGCGAGCAGGGGGCGGGCCAGACGGCAGTTACAAGATGGAGCTGCAGGGGCTGGTGGATGCAGCGGTAGTGGCTTCCGTGGCGCGCAGCGCCCGCGCGACCCGCGGCGTCGCGTGGAGGCAGCGGGCGACGTTCTGTCGCATTCGTCGACGCTGCCTGTGCTGCGCGGGGAGACGAGGGAAGAGCGACGCCAGGGCGAGGAGGAGCTGCTGCCGTTCATGGTCCACCTGTACAACAGCTTGCACAGGTCGCGCAGTGCGATCTGTTCGAAGCCCACGGCATCCGCTCCCAGCGTGTCATGCAGGGGGGCCGGGCCCGCTGGCCGGGAAGCCCCGTATCTGGATGGCGCTCAACGGCGTCGAGAGGTGGTGGGGGCCTGGGCGGAGGGAGCTGCCGGTGACGGTCGGGGTGCTGAGGTGGATTAGGAGCATGCTGCGGCCAGGCGACTGCGCAGACGACACTGCCTTGTTGCGAGTCGGGGGGTATGCCCACTCTGGACACGGGGATGTGAAGGAGGTGCTGGCGGGGCTGGGCGTCGCCCCGAAGTGCAGGGGTGGGCAGGTCAGCCACTTCGCCGCGGCGAACGAGGCGGTGCTCTGGTTCAAGTCGTCGAAGGCAGACCAGGCAGGAGCGGGGCGAGCCAGACAGGATCTGCCCTGTGTGGGCAGCGGGGCGGTGCACTCGCCGATCGGCGCCCTTCTCTCGCGAGGTGGGAAGGCGGGGGCCCGATCGCGCGGGGCCGCGTCCAAGAGCTGCTCGGGTGGGCAGTGGCGCTGGAGGGCTACCCGCCAGATCGCTTCAAGAGCCAGTCGCTCCGCGTCGGCGGGGCGACGGCTCCCTGCCGTTGCTTTCAAGATACCGAGCTGGTGAAGCGCTCGGGGCGGTGGAACACTGGCGCGTTCCACCAGTGCCTGTGGGGGGCGAATGAGGACGCAGCAGGATCCTTAGATGCCATGGCCAAGTCGGTGGCGACCCTGCATGCAATCTGCACGGCCCCGGGCCGCGCGGCGCCGAAGGAAGGGGGGGGCGGCAGAGGGGGGTTGCTGCAGGCCAGCGCAGGGTCGCTGGCAGTCTGAGGGATGCTGACCTATAGGCGACGCCTGAGGAGCAGCGCAGTTGGGCCAGTGCCGGACTGCCGGCAGCCCGGGGGGTCTGGCCAGAGGCAGCGCCGGAAGGGCAGCGCAGCATGAGGTGACGGGGCGTATAGTCCGCCAGCGCGGTCCCCGAGGAGAGAGGCGGAGGTGCGGGGGCCCGTCGCAGCCCCGCGCAGGGGGCGCAGTCCGCCAGTGCGGTCCCCGAGGAGAGAGG